GGTTATACAGGGAAAAATCAGACACCTTATGAGTTGGCTGCTTAAAGCAGACCAGTGGAAAATTTCTGTGATTAAAATGTTAAGTTCAACCCAAAGTTACACTATATAGTGGCTCGACTAGACTCATCTTCTTGTTCTAACATTCCTAGTGTTCTACAGTGAGCCTGGTACACGTTAAATGTGTGATATCTGTACTAACTTTTGCTGATAAAATACCACCACCAAACATAGTCGCTCTTTAAAAAAAAATCAATTTTTCCTAAAATGTTAAAGTTTTGCATATTCCATGTGAAGTATATGAAATTTTTGAAACTGTGCATATTGCTTCAAATGTTACCAGCAGCAATTGAAAATGAACACTACATTTTGGAATGTGTTATCTACCCTCCATGTAGATCAAATAGATTTGAAATGCAATGTACCAGCACTGTATAAAAATGAACACTCACCAGCATTTTGTAGTAACCACTCTTAACATAAATCACTGATTATCCATATATATATAATATATATATACATTTTAGCCTATCTAGCCAGTTTTTTCTTTCCACTATAGACAAGAAAAAGAAAATACAGTTAGAATACAGCAAGAATTTGGCTAGGATAGATGATCAGGGTAACTGAGAGCCTGTTTTGCACTCCCTCACCACCTCCCAACCCCCCATGTTCCCTGCCACTGGCCCATGGAATCTCTAGATTAAAAGAAAACTTAAAAGAACATCTAGTTTAGAGATTCCCTGTGAATTCTGAATTCCCTGTGAAGACTCACAAGACCCACCCACATATTCAATTAGCTGCTCACAAGTGGGGAATGGAATGTGCATGCTTAACAAAGTTCCCAGAAGGTTCTGACACATCCAGCCTCTCCCTGGTTCTTGGGGTAGAACTCAGTTCCTTTTAGTGCAGCCCTTTCCTCTTATCAAATGCAACAGTCCCAGCTTAGCTTCTCTAAGTGGCCACCCAGGTAGGATGTTCACTGTCTCCTGTAGCTACCCTACTCATTTTTTTTTTTTAAACTACTACATGCTTTATTCAGATTTCCTTCATTTTAACCTCATATTCTTTTTCTTTTCCCTGATCCCATTCAGATGATATACATTCTTTATAGTGAAGTACTAAAATACCAAATTATTTTTCTTTTACAATCCACATTGTTTCTGTAATTTGTTAAAAAAAAGTTTTTCTATTTGGCATAAAGGTTTATTCCCAGGATGCTCACTCTGTAATTTGAAGTTGTGGGCTCTATCTAAAACAAACGCTAACAACTACCCAATTACAATCTATAAAATGCTCCTGAGAGTCTCAACTATTTTTTTTTTAATCACAATATTAGATCTATGTGCGAGGATAATTTGTTTTACCTGCGTGTTTTTACTGAATGATTTTTTCCCCATCCTCAGGCAAATATGAATATGTGGCAGGATGACATAATATAGTTTCTTAAACATGTTTGCTGACTATTAACTGTGCCTTTGGTAATCTTGCTAAAAGAAATGGAAAAAATAAAACTTAAAAAAAAATTAAAAAAGGAATAAGCCTTGTCTTTTGAGCATACAATTCAAATGGACCACATGCCACACATGTACATAAGAGATGTCAGTACTATCACCACCATTATCTCAGTGAAATATAAACGCTAGAATTTGATGGTCAAGGCATTGATCACTGGAGTCTAACTCACCTTAAAATCCAAACTCTCTTCTCACTAGTTGCTTATTCTTGGGTAGACGATTCCATTATCTTAAACTTCAGTTATTTCAACTAGAAAATGAACAGATGATTCTACTTCACAGAATAATGAGATGAGGCATATGAAGCAATTAGTATATTTCTGACACGTAATACTAAATCCTTAAATAATATCGACTCTTATAACAACACTATATACCCAACTGAAAACTCTATAATGCAAGTAAGTTGGGGGATATCTAACTTTAGCATGTAGAGAATGATTTTTATTAACCCTAGCAAAATCCAGGTTGTGTTACCCCCCTTTATACGTTATTTGCGAACGTTAACCACACTACTTCTTTCTCATGGCCCCACTCTTAATGGAAGCCACCCACATTCTCTCCCTCCCACTTGGAAATCTCACTGTAAATACTTAATGACCATGGTACTCTCACGTCTGACTTAAAATGTGTCCTAACAAACATTAAACTCAAAGCAAACACTGTACTTGAAACACTATAGAACTGGCCAAAGACTTTGCATGGCAAATTAAGATAGTACTCTGAACAGTGAAACAATGGAATTTGGGGAAGTTTCTTTGAGCAATAGAAATGAGTCAGTTTTCCTTCTGATATAGGCTTACCAGTCGCAGCCAAAATACTCTCTGCAAAACCACAACCACTGTCCATTCTTCTGAGCGATGGATGCTCTTTTCCTCACTCAGTACTTCTTATCTTTCTTCCTGAAATCTTTACCCCTCTTAAAATCCTTATTAAGGCTGCACTGAATACAAGGTTACTCAAGATCAACCCTCCTATTTGTCAGCGTTTGCCCTCATAGAATTTCATATTAATGCAAACATTATTTATTTAGCTCTCTATAAATATATTACTACCTACGCAAAGTGGTGTGAATATTATAAAGATGAGTAAGATGTAATTGCTTTAGAATGAATTAAAACAGAAGATTATGGCCAGAGAGTCAAATCTGACCACGCCCAGTTGTTTATGTATCGCCTATGACTCCACTTCCATATAACTAAGCAGGGATGAGATGCTCCCACCAAGACCATATGCGTCCTAAACATGAGTATATGACTTTCTTGGCCCTTTACAGAAAACATATGCCAATCCCTAAAGTAGGAGATGCAAGTATAACAAAAATACTGAAATTTGGTAAATGTCAATTAAAAAGTGGTAAGTAATTCCAGGAGCTTAGGAAGAGGAAGGGCCACTTTCAATACCATCATTTAGAAAAAAAACAATTGGAGAAGGTATCACTTGAAATAGGACTAGAAGAATAGCATGAAGGGTTAAAAACTTCTGGGCAATAAAAAAAAAAAATGATATAAATAAGTGAAAGGAAGGAAAAACAAGCCAGGAGATGGAGTCTGCCAATTATTTTAGGCACAAACTCTCTTAAGATGACTTACAAAGGTCTTTTCATCTTTACTGTTTTTCTAATCTGCAGTTATGTTTTATACAAATCACATTACATATGCCTCCAGCATTTCTCTTAATTATATGCTTGCTTTCCAGCTGGTAACCCCACTCCACAACAGCAGGCTCAGAGACAGAAATTTAGTGACAAATAAACATTATAATTAATGGTATTATCGGAAACTGTGCACAATTTAACCTTTCTTATCTGTCATTTGATATTTAAAAATTTAGCACCAAAAGAATGAGAGCTTTTCTTCTAAGACAAAATTACATGACTGTATATTAACCTGCAAATTATATATATATATATCTAAAACATATTACTTGCATATTAACCTGCAGATTATACACACACATACACACACACACACACACACATATATGTATATATATATGTATATATATATATATATAGAGAGAGAGAGAGAGAGAGAGAGAGAGAGAGAGAGAGTGTTTTACTATGTTGCCCTGGGTAGATCACAGCTCACAGCAACCTTAATTCTTGGGCTTAAGTGATTCTCTTGCCTCAGCCTCCCAAGTAGTTGGGACTACAGGTGTCCGCCACAACATTCAGCTACTTTTTTTGTTGTAGTTGTCATTGTTCTTTAGCGGACCCAGGGTGGTTTAGAACCCGCCAACCCTGGTGTATGTGGCCAGAGCCCTAACCACTGAGCTACAGGTGCCAAGCCTAACATGCAAATATTATATTGTGCTGCTCACCGTGTGGCATAATGTTCCTTTCTCCCAAAGTTCCATAGGCAAAAACCACTAGATAGACTAGTAAGACTTCTAGTTTTAAAGGCAAAAAATTATTTCACTTTGATCAGAAAGAATATAATTAAGAAAGATCTACATTAATAGATCTAAGTGAGCTACTTCAAACAGGTTTTTGAAAACTAAGTTTACATCAAAAAATAATTTATTGCAAGAAGAATTTATATGCATAAATATTTTATGTTCAATACTAACATCTGTGGTCATATTATTTTTTGGCCAGTTAGCCAGTGTGAACCTCAAACAGCCAATTCCCCAAGATCAATCATGAGTGGCTGATGGGGCCTAAATTAAAAATAGAGCCAAATAGGGCGGTGCCTGTGGCTCAAAGGAGTAAAGGTGCCGACCCCATATGCTGGAGGTGGCGGGTTCAAACCCAACTCCAGCGAAAAACTGAAAAAAAAAAAAAAAAAAAAAGAGCCAAATGGCCATTTGCTAACTATAGTTACCAAAAAACTTGTATGTTTGCTTAACTTTGGGACTTCTCACAACCTGAACTAACCAATATGCTGTGGCCTCATTAATCAATCAAAACTCAGCTGTGTCATGTCAACCAGTCAGCACTAACAAGTTTGACATTTTCATTTGCATAACTGAACCTTACTGGGAACCTGGGTGGGGATTTTCTCTATAAAAGTCAAAATCTCCCTTTATTCTCTGGAAGACACCTTCATTTTACACCAAAGACTTATGTATGTCCACTTGGTTTGCAAACTGTTCACTAGAATAAAGTCTCTGTCCTCCAAATTCCTTTTGAGCAATTTTGTTCATACCAGATAGCTACATTTTCATATTCTACTTAGTGACCTAGGATAACTGTGAATCACAGTCTTCATTAAAACAATATAAGAGAAAATAGTTTTTCAACATATGAACAATTCTTGAATCGTAAAAGAACGAGCCAGACCAGGTAAAAAAAAGAAAGTCAATTTTTAAGTAAAATTTTAAATGTGTAAAGTAGGCAAAAACCAGTAACAAACAAAAGTGGGACAGGGACTTGTAAGAGAAAGGGGGAGGGAGAAGAAAACAAACAAAAATCCCATCCAAACTGAGATAACTGATCCAAATTCATGTAACTGCTGTACTGAGGTAAAGCAGTGGGAAAAAATAACATTTTAAACTCAAAGCCTGAAATGTTTTACTATTTCAACATATAATTCCTTTAGAATTCCCACGATATGTACATAATCCTAGAATAAACATCTTCTTAGCTTATAAACAATGAATACATTTGAAAATAAATATATACAATATTTCAGAACAACCCTTAAAGATCATATTTAGGCAATGACATTGAAAGAAATGGAATTCAGGGACTGTGTAGCATTCAGAAAATATGTCATCTTGAAGGTTAAGTTTTCCCTTCACTGCTGGTTACTCTGAGGTCTTCATAATACACAGGTTGCTTCTAAAGTAGTTTTGTTATTGAGCCAAGGATCTTGATGGAATAATCCCAATTTCATTTTCTCCAGTACTACAAAAAGTAAAAACACATAAACAGAAAATAATTGACTTCACTGTTCACAAAGAAAGATAAACAACAGAGTCTATAGTTTTAAGAAGACTTCTATTACTTTATTAAAAAGTGAACGAATTACTTTGCTAGATGCCATCAAAGAGGCTGCAATTAACCACAATATGGTTTAAAAATCAGTCTATATGAGAAAATATTTAGGGTAGAAGGTGTTTGCTGACTCAAGCTCAAGAATAACACAGTTATTATGTGATAAGCAAAAAGAAAAAAAAATTAGCACTTAAAAGGCAAAATTTCTACTGAATTCCATAGTTATTAGAGGATTAGTATTGTGAGTAGCATGCTTAATTCCTTAGTTTCACATTTTCATCAGAGGCTGTGAAAACCTGTAGCTTATTCCACAGAGTGTACCCACTTCATTCCAGAAATGGTCTGGAAATCAAATCAAAGGAAGTAGTCCTAAAAGAACAAGAGAGGCCACTGAAGAGCTGCTTGGGATCGACACAGTCAAGAGTGTTCAATCCTGAGACAGACGGTAGAAAGAAAAGAAACAAAGATTTCTTCCTTTGGGTGAATATACACTGAGTCATCCATACCTCATGTGCCCTTTTGTTTAATAAAATACAGGTTGATATTATCTTAAAGGAATTATGAATGCTGTTCATGTGTAACAAAACTAACATTCTATGAACTTCATCTCATTATTACACTCAGAAAAAGTGAAAGAACTAAATTTTGCTGACAAGTAAAATGAATTGCCTGAATATGTGTAGATATGTGTACATGCAGAAATGTGAAACTGCCAGGATGCTGGCTGCTTCTAATCTGATGTGATTTATTATTATTATTATTTTTTTTTTTTTTTGAGACAGTGCCTCAAGCTATCCCCCTGGGCAGAGTGCCGTGGCATTACAGCTCACAGCAACCTCCAACTCCTGGGCTCAAGCGAGTCTCCTGCCTCCGCCTCCCAAGCAGCTGGGACCACAGGCGCCCGCCACAACGCCCGGCTATTTTTTGGTTGCAGCCATCATTGTTGTTTGGCGAGTCCGGGCTGGGGATTCGAACCCGCCACCTTAGGTGTACGTGGCTGGTGCCTTAGCTGGTTGAGCTATAGGCGCCGAGCCATCTGATGTGATTTAAATTAACAATTCTAGAAAGACTATGGCAAGATTTATTTTTAATACTAATAAAAATAATGTACTTTACACTTCAAGAAGCAATTCAGATATTTTTATTAAAGGTAATATCAGAGAAAATAAAAATAAACTTCTTGAGAAAAGGGACGTTGGCACTCATATAAAATCTCATACATTTACTTGGTGCCTAGTACGTGCTAGAAAGTGGTTCTGGTTCTGTTGGAGGTCTCAAAGATACTTAACCTGCATGAGGACTAAATGAGTATACACAGAGTCGTAACACACATACACGCACACGCTTACAATTTTGGCAAATGGGTAGGAAACTCATTCCAGGCAAGGAGCACAGGGATATTACTTATATGGGGAAGAGGGATACTGGCTGTGAGGAATTATTGTCAGATCTACAAAGTAGGTTCTTTTTTGAAGGCTGTTGGAAGATGATGAAGGTTGAAAATGCAGGTAAAAACCAAATTGTGAAGGGACCACACTGACATCCCAGGATGTCTAAATATCCTAGAATTAAATAGGAAGCAATCAAAAACTTGTGTGTATATATGTGTGTTTGTATATGTGAAAAAAAATGCTGCTACTGAACAGATGGTCTTTAGAATACAGGCAAACCTTGTTTGATCATGCTTCACTTCACTGTAGCTTGCAGATACTGCGTTTTTTATAAATTGAAGGTTTGTAGCAACCCTGCCTTGAGCGAGTCTATTGGCACCACTTTTCTAATAGCAGGTGCTTACTTTGTGTCTGTGGGTCACACGTGCAGTCTTGCAGTCTTTCAAACCTTTTCATTATTATTGTTTCTGTTACAATGATCTGTGATCAGTGATTTCGATGTTACTATTCTAATTGTTTGGAGGTGCCACGAACCTCATTCACGGAAGATAGCAAACTTAATCAATGCTGTGTGTGTTCTGACTGCTTCCCTGACCAGCCATTTCCCCATCTCTCTTCCTCTCCTTGGGCCTCTCTATGCTCTAAGACACAGTTATGTTGAAATTAGGCCAATTAAGAAACCTACAATGACCTCTAATCGTTCAAGTAAAAGCCCTATGATTCCCTTTATTGCAGTAGTCTGGAATAGAACTTGTAATTATCTTCTACATTTGCCTGTATGTAGGTCACTAAGAAAGCTCTGAGACAAAGTATGCTATGGGCCATTATTTCACTTCCAAAAACCATAGTCAACAGTGTCCTTTCTGATTCACCTGTGCAAGTTTCGACTTGCTCGGCTTTTTGGTGTTGCTGGGCAGGCTTCATTTGTTTGTCCATATTTTATATTTCTTGATTTTTGTGTATCTCAATGCTTTCATAATGATCCATTACATGTATGCCTCACAATGTCAGTATCTACTATATAGCAGAGCCAGTCCTAAAATATTTAACTCCTTGTACATATGAGGAGTTTTTGTTAAAAAGTTTGATAGGAAGAAAAAAATCAACCGTTAGTATAAAACTATCTTACTGCAAGCAGTTAATAAAACAAACACAGGTAAACTTTACCAAAGTTGATATTCAAATGTCTAATATCCTTCTTTAGAGAAGATAATGAAATTAAATGTATATGATTAAGAATTTAAACTGCAGGGCATTGTAGTTGAAATTCAACTGGCATTTTGTTGACTGGCTGCATTATAGTTTGAAATTCAATCGGCATTTTGTTGACTGGCTGCTATTATAATAATTAATCTTAAGACCTGAAAACATTTGTCATACAGCAAATGGCTGTATTATAATATTTGCTTTTTAAAGTGTCACAGGTTTTAATGGGTAGCTGTGTAGCAATTATAACTGCAGTTCAACCAGACAGCACATGTGGGTAAATGAAATTCAAGACCAGTTTCAGCCAGTGTGCAAAATAAATGTTATCCCATATTTATCCTGTTTATCTTGGGTTAACCGTTTGCAGTGACTTTTTATATACACTTGGTTGTTTGCACAGCTGATTTTATTATTCCTTTAATGGTTAAAAGATTAAGGAAATAAAAAAAGAATCATTTTCTAAATTTAGAAGTAAATTTTTAAGAACTCACTTTTCACAACAAAGGCTACTCATGCCTAATAAACTGCAGCTTAGAAGCATACAACAAGTTATTTGGTAACTAGTGTCCATTTTTACAAACCAGGAGTTGGGTTTGAATCTGAGCTTTGTCACAGATCAGCCTTAGTTTTCACATCTATAAAACAAAACCATACTTCACAGGTGTGAGAATTAAACGAGGTGATGCCAAGAAAGCATTTTACTGAATTCCTGGTAAATGTTCGATAGTCTGTTATCATTGCCATTATTGTTGTCATTCCTCCCAGAACAATCTAAACAACTGAGAACTAAATATGGGACACAAAATGTGGTAGGAAATAATTTTGGACAATCTACTTACAAATTATGGTGTTATGTCATTTAAGCTACTCATAGAAGAATTCCCTGGCTCTTTAGAAAATTATTTACTAAATTACAAAAAAATTGGTTTTAGAGAAGAATTATTTCTATTTGACCACATAATTCCATAATTTTTCTTTGGTTTAATGATATATTTTACACTGCTAGTCTTCATTCTTAAGGGTAAAATGAGGCCCATATGACAGAAATCCAGAAATAAGGCACTGTTCTTTTATTTTTAGACATCATTTTGCCTTTATAAAGTAGGATGAAACCTAATGTTCCGAACACATTTTAGCTATTATACAAATAGTCATACTGTTCAAAGTGGCAAAAAAAGGGAACAAAATATAAATGGAGACGGCATGAATTAGTCATACTGAGCAACATTACCTTTTCGGCTTTGCATGTATCTATGCAGGGGTGTCCAACCTTTTTATTTCTCTGCCACACATTGCTAGAATAAGAGGTGCTTTGGGCCACATGCTAAATACACAAACACTAAAGAAAGCTGATTTGCAAAAAAACCCCCAAACTATGTACATACTTTTCATGCTATCCAACACCACAGATAATCAAAAAAAGTGCTCACAAAATTAGCATGCACCCTCAGGCTGCAGATTGGACACCCCTGTATGAGTATTCGAGGCTATGTAGCTTTCAACCATATGGGAGAATTGTATGGAGAAGTATGAGTAAGGCGCTTCAGTAAACAAGACTTAAAACTACAAAGCATTCCGTGTTTTCCAGTCTGACTTGAAAGAGGGATCATAAAAAGGAAAAGATGTTCAATTTGCAAAGACGAATTCCATTTTACTGGCTACTTTATATGAATAGAGATGTTTAAAAAAATATAGAGAAGGAGGCAAAAATAGGTCACTAAAAGAAAAAAAAATAAAGTTAGTATGAATAATAATGCTATAAAAAGACACACAGATCTGTACTTAGATTTAACATATGAGTACTAGTAATGCATTAAATCTACAATAGTTTAGTTCTACTATATCTACGTAGTTACGTATCTGTGGTGCAGCTGGAGACTAAATGTCAACTTAACATCTGCAGCGGAAAATAATTAACTTGTGAACTAGGGGTTTATCAACATTTTGACTATTGAGGCCAATTACATGTTTGTTAGCAGATGGTATATTCTCATTATAAATTTAAGGTATAATTTATTTTTTACTTATCTTTTCTCTTATAAGTAGGATTCAAAATAATACTACAGGTATGGGTGTAAGGACTTTAAATAAAGTTAATAAAGAAAAAAGTAAAGAAAAAAATCTAGTGTCTAGTAATTTTCCTTTTCCATATGGTTATTAGCTGATGTATGGCCCTTAAACAGAGCTAGCTCTGTTAATGTATCACATAAGACCAAACAGCAAATAAAGTTCAACAGACATACATTATGGTACATTTAAGACTATATAGAGTAGTGTCCCTAAGTACATTTGAACATCTACTATTGTTATCAA